GTCACGGTCAGTTGTACCAGCAAAGGATGAAGAAGGCTTTTGATAAGAAGGTTCGACCGCGCGAGTTCAGAGAAGGTGACCTTGTACTCAAGAAAATATTATCTTTCCAACCTGATTCTAGGGGCAAGTGGGCTCCAAATTATGAAGGACCGTATGTTGTTAAGAAAGTTTTCTCTGGGGGTGCCATGATTCTCACCAGTATGGACGGTGAAGAACTCCCACGTCCCTTGAACGCCGATGCAGTCAAGAAGTATTTCGCTTAGGCAATTTCTGGTCAAATCGGTCTCGGCATATGAACACATTCTGGAATTCAAAGTTGCTAGGGAAAATAGCGATCATTGTTTTTGTATGACCTGTTATTTCATGTATTATTTCCCCAAGCTTTTGTAAACCGTTGGAGTCGCATTTGTTAGCGAACAACCTCTTATTAATGAAATTTGAGCATTTAACTTTTGTGGGCAAAATTTTAATTTTACGGAAATACTTGAAACAAAGTATTTAAAGTATTCTTATTTTTTTAATGTGTCGCGAGTCATGAAAGGAATATTAACAGTCGTTCCGAGGATGGTCAAGCCATGAAATGCGAAGCAGTACAGTAATTTATCCTCGCATGATGAACATGTTTTATTTCAAAATCGCCATGAGGTGTTGGTTGTGTAAACTTGTGTTTCTAGTGGTACTAAGTTTGGTGACTCCCCAGCTTTTCCAGTTGAGCACTGTTTTGGCTATCTCTAGTTGGGCGATTTCCGAAGTTTGGTACGTTTTGTCTCATACCGTGATCTATTGGTGTTAGAAGATTGGATTTGATTGCTTTTCTCCTCAGAAGACTTGGACCTTGTAGCGTGATACCCTCCGACGTTGCTGTGTGTTTCCACTTCCGTTTATCTTCCGTCTTTTCAAGATTGGCCGAGTATCTATTTTGCTGTGACATCTTATTATCTCCAAGATATTCCATCTGTCTGTTTTGTCAGCATAACATTCGTTTATTCATTTACGCTCATATCAGCATGCATATCCACATTCGCTGTTGATTTTGGGTCGTACTTTGTTTATTCGAACAACGTACATTTTTCTTTCCAAGTAGAAGGTTAGCTTAGGCAGAAAATGTGCTTCCTTTCTAAATTCCCCAACTGAGCTAATCCTCATGGATGATTTTGGTTTAGCCTACCTTGCCCATTTCTGAATACGAGGAATTCCCCAAATGAGTTACTTTCTCATCGGGTGGAGTCTTGTTTGACTGTTTTTCTCTCTTGTTTATCCCTGGATGAAGTTGTTGTCTCTTGCATAGGCTATCTCATGATTTTCCCTAGTGAAATCGATCCAAACAGTTGGTGCATTTATTTTGCACGTTAAAGTATATGATCTCCTCGGGAAGGATTGATTCAGGTTTCTCTTTGACGAGGATCTTATTCTCTGCCAGTATCATCGCAATTTCCTCCTGTTTATTTTTGGAAAACGACAAGCGGCAGCTCTTCATGAGCAACTTGTATGTTATAGACACCGTTGGAAAACGACAAGCGGCAGCTCTTCATGAGCAACTTGTACGTTACTTGTTGAAAACGCTGAGCAGCAGTTCTTCATGAGCTACTAGTGCGTTATTTACTTTTTGAAAACGACAAGCGGCAGCTCTTCATGAGCAACTTGTACATTACTTATTGAAAGCGCCGAGCAGCAGTTCTTCATGAGCTACTAGTGCGTTATTTACTTTTGAAAGCGCCGAGCGGCAGTTCTTCATGAGCTACTAGTGCGTCATTTATTCTTTTTGAAAGCGCCGAGCAGCAGTTCTTCATGAGCTACTAGTGCGTCATTTATTCTTTTTGAAAGCGCCGAGCAGCAGTTCTTCATGAGCTACTAGTGCGTCATTTATTCTTTTTGAAAGCGCCGAGCAGCAGTTCTTCATGAGCTACTAGTGCGTCTTTGTTTTTTTTTTGAAAGCGACAAGCAGCAGCTCTTCACAAGCTACTAGTGCGTTATTATTCTTCGGAAAACGGCAAGCGGCGGTCTCTTTATTTGAGCAACTTGTACGTCATTACTTTTCTGGAATACAGCAAGCGGCAGCTTCTTTATTTGAGCAGCTTGTATGTTATCGGTATTTTCTTTGGACGACAGCAAGCGGCAGCTTCTTTATTTGAGCAGCTTGTATGTTATCGGTATTTTCTTTGGACGACAGCAAGCGACAGCTTCTTTATTTGAGCAGCTTGTATGTTATTGGTATTTTCTTTGGACGACAGCAAGCGGCAGCTTCTTTATTTGAGCAGCTTGTATGTTATTGGTATTTTCTTTGAACGACAGCAAGCGGCAGCTTCTTTATTTGAGCAGCTTGTATGTTATTGGTATTTTTTTTTGGAAGACGACAAGCGGCAGTTTCTTTATTGGAACAACTTGCGTATCTACAACCTTACTTCGGCATTAATGGGTGTATCTCCGGAAATCTCGCAGAGAAAGCCTGTTATGAATCTTTACCTTCGGAAGTCGGTAACCCGTTATCAGCAATTTGATACTCTCTGCCTATCATTAACCTTGAGTTGCGAACTCACTGTTTTTGGTCAATAATCTGTTATGGCCTATGCAAGATGCTCTCTTTGTTAGGGTTAGAGGTTGTATTCCCTCGATGTTGCTCACTGTCGGGAGTCTGTCGTTTAAAGTCGTTGGCTCGTTTCCCCAGTAGTGTATAATCCATGTCTCTGTGTTTTGTTGGTGTTCGATTCCCCCAACATTGTCTTGTTTCACACCGTATCTTCCTCTGTGAGTTCGATCGCTGCATTCATATCAAACATGACGACGGCATCTTAGGACAAAATTTGCGTAGTTATGTATTTAAGTACCTTCAATCTCGTCGAAACGAAGATTTTAATCGTCATATCTCCGGATAGAAGGAACTTAAATAGGGGCAGCTGTTGTACCCCAAATTTTGACCTAAGATACCGTCTCCCATCTGCATTATTCGCATTGCAAGGGTTTTGACATATTTTATCAAATTTTCAAAGCAGTGTAAAAATTCACAACTTTTTCGGGTCGGGAGCTGTTTATTTGTTGAACGCTAAATTTATTAACTAATCAAGATTTAAATGACGTTTATTAATTATTCATTATCTTAAATTTAAATAATTGGAATCTATTTTTTCAATTGTTATATAATTTAAAGACTTATGAATAATGAGATAAAAATTTGAGAATGGGTTTATTAATTGGTCAACAATGATTATTTAATTCTTTATCATTCTGGGTTAAATAATTAAAATTTTATTTTTTAATTATTATAATTTAGAATATTATGAATAATGAATTAAATAGTTGAATTTGTGAATTAGTCAATGATGTTTATTTATTTGTTTGTCGTTCTGAATTTAAATGATTGGATTTGATTTTCAGTCATTATATAATTTAAAGAATTATAAACAATAAATAAATAATTGGAAAGAAAAAGAATTAATTGAGAAATAATAGAATTTTATTCACTTTATTCTATTTATTGCAATTGTCATTTAAATATTGTGTTATTACAAAATATTTATAAAGGCAATTACACAAATGCTTAAAGTAAAATAAAAAGCTATTTTTCTAAATTCTAATTCTAATCTTCTATCCAATGCTCTTGTCTGCTCATTTAAATTTTACCTGCAAAAAACGATTAAAAGAAAAGTCAGAATTGAATAAATAATTAAAATGCAGAAAATAAATTTAATGTTCATCATTAAAAGCAAACGGCCGGAATCAGTTTGCCCTTTTTGCAAATCACGGGATTTCTCCCGGTTCACAAAAAGGGAGGAATTTTTATGAATGCACAATTAAAACATGCACACTATCATTTTTCTTGTCAAAATAGCACATTAGAAATCAATTGCTTTTTTCAAAAAAATCTAAATGCATATTTCAAAAAAACATACAGCATACAAAAGTAACAGCATATGCCATTTCCCACAAGTAAAGCTAACGTTAACCTGCAGCCATATAGGAGAGTAACATAGGCTCCCATGCAAGACAAAAGAGATATGCAATTTCAAACAATGTGCAAGCAAGTATTTCCTTTTTTCATCATATTCTAGCCTATTGCTTTTTCAGAACAGCAGTACAAGATATCATTTTTATGTATCAATATGTACTTGAGAGAGAAGAGAGAAAATGGTTTAGTTTTGCAGGTTTTGGTTTAAGCATGAAATAGGAATAAAGTCAAACCATATGTAGCAGCATATGTGCAGAGCATCAGAAAAATATATTAAATATACTCAAACCTGAGCCATCAAAGAGGAGGCAACGGTCATATGAGAAAAAAACCCCTTCAAGAGGAGGAGGACATAACCTGCAGGGAGGGGGGTTCTAGACAAGACTATCAAATCAAAAAATCATTTTTTCTGCTCCAAGGCAAAACCACAGAACCTACATCTAAACCATTCAAAACCATAGCATATTGCTAAATCACATAACCTACTGCAAAACCATTCTGCACAGCATAAAAAACAATAAAAACCTGCACTGATAAACCGTTGATCAACATAAACAAACCAGGAAACATACAAACACCTTGGCCTAAACCATCAACCATCAGCTTTCTTCAGATTCATCACAAAAACCTTACCATATTTACCGGTCCAAGAGCATCCTAGGTATAAATTCATTGGTCTAACATATGGGCCTGGAGGTGATAATCAAGAGCGACTAGAGAAGGAAATTGGTGCCAAGATAAAAATTCGTGGAACCAAAGCAGACACAGGAGAGAAAAGTGTTTCAACCAACAGCCACCACACAAATGCAGAAGATGTAATTCAGGTTCAGAAGGAAAGTTAGAGAAAGACCAAGAACATAGTCAAAAGACAATTCAACATACCAGGTTTATGACTCCATTTTTATTAATTTCGACGTTATATTTGCTTCAGCTTCACTATAATTCATCATCTTTTGCAATAGGGGGGAATGGTTATTAAGGGTTTCTTTTGCTTGCCGCTGCAAAGACGTGTTACTGTTAATTTTGAAAGAGAAATATACAATAAAAGTAAAAAAATATGTTTCTTACCTCCAAAAGCTTCGCTGTAGTATATGCTTCTCACCATATCCATTTCCTTTGGTTCGCCTTCATCCTTTTCGTTGTCCTGACATCTGAAAACAACGAACCTCCTCCCATTAACCCACTTGAACAAAAAGCATTCTTCAATCTTCTCAATTCCATCTCAGAAAAAGCAACCATATCTAACCTCATATCAGGTCAATCTCATCCATTGGATCTTATAATCGAAAATAAAAATCGAAGGCTCAGATCAATTCTCAAGTAACAGAATTTCCACAAACTCTAACAAAAATATAATAACAAAATTACCTTGCATTGATTCTTTCTTCATTCTGCAGAAGAATCGTAAATAAAATTCCAGATCACTATGTTTTTTTGCTTCAATCTTCAAGAACCTTCATCACCGCAACAATATTCATCTTCCATGCACAACTGCTCTCTCTCACTGAATCTTCATCTCAAAATCTTTATCACCTTCCTCTTCAAAACCTTTAATCCTCTTCGATCATCCTATTCATCGCAAAAGCTATCTTCACAATCTTCTGATTCAATCAACAATCTCCTTCCAATCTCGCATCAACCTACCTTGCTTCATTTACCTGCAAGTGAAAACAGAAGATAACAATTCCACTCAACAATTGCATCGATGTACAATCACAATAATCCTAAATAAGCAGACAAACTTCAAAGAGCGATAAGCTAATCGCTGCCTTCATCAACCCTACCCCTGTTCGGTTACAGCAACACATCAAATCCCTATTCTAACACCGGCAATAGCTCAATCGATAAATTTCAAAACTCATAATGTTGCAAGACCAACACAATCATATAAACACACTGTTAATTTAAAGCCAACTTGAAATAATATAGAAAATTCACAAACCTTTTTCAATTACCAATTCGGACTTTACGATTCATCACTATCATCTTCATCCAATTCTTCTGCCACTCTCAAATCCGCAACACCAAACCCATTTCGTCCTCTGCTGCACGAGCCACCCTCCAATCGCTCTCTCTCTCAAACCCCTCTACTATCTTCTCTTAAACCCATCGACACGGTAACAAAGGAAAACGAAACGCTATCTCATTTCAACCAACCCTTGCCGTACTGCGATTCTTTAACGACTGTTGAATCACTGATGTTGCGTAAGTGACTGGAAACAAGCCGGCGTCTACCAACCTCCAAGACGCAGCCACCAGCGGCGGCCAGCTTACAACATTTCCTAGGTTTTTTTGTTACAGCATTGTGTTTCTTTTCTTGGGTCTGGGTCCTCCAACGACCCGGTCCAATTCCCTCAACCAAGCTCAGTTTTTTTAACTTAAGCCCATTCTAATTGCTACTCCCACCCCATTTTTTTTTATAGACTCTTTAGTTTAATTCTATTCCTTTTCTTAGCTAACTTATTTAATTTAGATTAGTTAGTTTCTTAGAAGTAAACATATAGTTTTAATTAGACAATTTTTAATATTTTACCCAAATCTTATTTAGTTTAAGTTTAGGTTTATTTAATAATTTTAGTCTTCCTTATTTCTAATTAGATTTAAATTCATGACTTGTAAGTTTTATTTAGTTTGGAAATATTTAATATCTCTAAAAACATATGAAAGTAAAAAATGAGAAAACTAAAAAACATGCTATTTTTCTTTAATTTACTCCCCTCATTTTGGTTAAATACTAATACAAAAAAGACATAAAAAATAGAAACTTAAAAACTTAAAAAACATTTCTATTAATTCTCATTACTTTTTATCTATGTTAAAATGCGTAACCAATTAAAACATTTTTCTCTTCATATATTAAACAAAAATCTAAAAAATGCATGTTCACACACTCAGTCTCTTATATAATTTGTTGTATATCATTTATCTCATAATTTTCTGTTTAAATATCTCGCACTTACTTGATTATTCTGTTTGCGCCAATCCAAAGGGAATTGTCTAATTTTTGTTGACTTCATGTCTTCAAAAAAAACGATTGTGCGAATACCCTCATTTCATTAAAAACTTAGGATAATTTTTCCTTAAAATAAAAAATTCATTTTATTTTCAAAACTTATACCTTTTAAGCAAAAACTTCGACGTTAGGTCGTCGCAACTTCAAAAAACTGCTCGTATCATGTTTCGGCCAAAACGATTTATTTTCAATCAAGCAATCAATTTTAAATAAAACAGATATTTCAAAAGGTTCCTATAGAGTACTATAGATACATTGGGTGCTAGTACCTTCCCATTGTATAACCAACCCCCGAACCATAAGATCTCTTTTCAAAAAACGCTTTGTATTTTTATTTACATTGCATATTTAGGGTTTTATTTCGCTCTTTCCCTTTTCCTTTGGAAACAATAAAGCGCGGTGGCGACTCTTGCTTTTGTGAGACGAATTAATCAATAATTCGATCTCCGATTTACCCCGCTACATTTTTTATCGCTACAATACCGACCACGGATATGTATCTTTTCTATATCTTTGTGCGTATCCGATACCGACCACGGATATGTATCTTTTCTATCTCTTTCTTACGTGTCCGATACCGACCACGGATATGTATTTTTGATGTCTCTTTCTTGTATATCCGCTACCAACCCCGGATATGTGTCTCTGATATTTTTTTCGCATGTCTACTACAGGCTTCAAGCATATATCTTTTGATACCTTTCTTACAGGTGTTTGTTACTAAATCCCAACAGATGTTCCTTGATAACCAAGTTACTCTGCTGTGTATCAAACTCTGGTTAAACATACATCTAACCCCGATAACCCATGTAATCCAAAAAGCAAAATAATATAATAAAAATAGATTCCAAAAAAGAAAAATAATAATACCTGACTGACTCCGGAGCGCAAATTTTTGGGTCCTTTTAAGTATTTAATCTTCTTCCACCTTGAAAGTTCGAAAGGCTGGCGCCAATCTAACCTTCAGGTTGAAGACGATTAAATAGGGGCAGCTGTTGCACCCCAAAATTTTCCCTCCTAATTTCCTTTATTTTGGCTTAGACTTTTGCATTCATCTGCATCTTTTTCATTAGGTCACTAACATGGCATACATTTCATTCAATATAGCTCTGAGGTTCAAAGTTCAGTGGTTGTGCGATACTAGGGTTTCATAGTGGTTAAGGCGCTCATATCCAATAAAGGACTTCTTCTCCCTCAAGCAGCAAGGCTATTATCTTCTGATAAACAACCGATTGTAGGTCATTCTGGTCAAGAACTCTAGGACGTGACCTAGCATATGTGGGCTTCGAATCATGACGTCCTTTCCTATAAGTATGCTTGTCATTTGATTAGGATTAATGACTGTGACATGACAATCGTCTACTCCTCAGTTAATCAAATTAGGTTTTGTTGAATCATGGTTCAAAGATGTTTTATCCGGATATTTCTCTGTGCGTCTAAATGAGGAATCAAGATTGTGAGGGTTTCACATCAAGGGAATTCTTCTGTGATTCAGACTTTATCATCCATCTGTAAGATGTTCCTTATGACACTTCTCAAGTTGAAATAACCGATCGCTAAGGGCTGAGGATTGAATTATGAAGCGTGGTTCATGACCTAAGATATGAATTCATAGATTTCTCCTTAACCAAGGCAATCATTGTCCTCATCATTGTCATTTTTTATCTGCGATGCGAGTAGGTTTGGAATGAAGTAGGTTTCTCATAGAAGAATTCATGCAAGTTAATTCAAGGTTCAAGGCATTCAAGGCAGGGTTTGTTCAACATGGAATACCTGGTTGATGGGCTTACAAGCTCTTATGAGACCTTGAGATGCATAATCATGGACCAATTTCAAAGATATGTGGATAAGATCTGTTGACTTCGGTTAAAGTAAGCTTTGAAAAATTAACTTTGGGACCAAGGTCTCCCTTGAATTTTCATCTAATATGTGTTGGGAATTCGAGTTGCATTTGAAGAATGGTATGGTAAAGGAAAAGAAATATTGGTTCAGAAAAGAAAAAATTCATTAAAAATCAGGGTTTCTATTCATTGATAAAAGTTCAAGTAATTGAAGATCAGGGGAAATAAGGTTTCATATTAATCTTGATCATATTCTTTCATTATCATTTACATCCATCTTTGATGATTTAAGGTCGTCAATTAGGGAAGGACTTTGTCAAGATAAGAGACTTGTGGATTGAATCGTGGAATATGAGGCATGATACAAAAGGCAAGGTTGTGAATTTTTTAGGATCAAGATCTTATTGACTATTCAAATTATTTGTCATTCAAGTTGATTTGGGTTCAAGATTGAAGTTAGGAGTTCATTGAGAATGCAAGTGTGATTTGGATTTGAAGTTTGATTTGAGTTCAAGATGTTCGAAAGTGTTTGATTGGATTAAAGTTGGCAAAGAGCCTTAAGTATTGGTCATATGAGTTTCTTGGAAGGTAAAGTACAGACTGCGAGGTCTTGTTTCAAGTCGGAGTTCATATGCATTACAAAGACGTTCATCGTTATTCCAGATTCAAGTTGACATGTGTTCAAAGTTTATTCGAACCCTTTCATTCATGATTCAAGAAAATACTATCCAATTCCATTCAATTTCATTCAAGTGTAACAATACCTTACAAGAAAATTTGATGCTTTCATGTCTTCAAGCATTTTTTTCAAGACTTTGTCATTTAAACTCAAGCTCAAAGGTCATTTACAATTCACACTATAAATTTCAAATTCATCCAAACCAAACATTCATTATAAAATCATTACAATCCCATTACACCAATATTCTACAAAGAAAAAAAACTGTTACAAAATACACTTGAACAAAATTCTTTAGTCCTAAAGGTGCTAAAATTCCATGAGTAAACTTCTAATTCCATGCCATGCCAAAGTTCTTCATCTTCAGTTCATGACCTGCACATTCATACAAAAAAATCCAAGTCAATACAAGCAATCATGCCAAAATATCCTATGCTCATACAAATTATTCGACACATGAAAAACCATTAATTAACCCAAACCAAATGCTAAACACATATATGGAACAACCTGCATACCTTAACCTTGGAAGAGAATAGGTCCACATCATTCAAACTAACTGCAATTGAAAGGAAAATCAAATTCAGCTTTGGAACAATGTCCAACAATAACCATAATCACACATTTCCAATTGCAGCTACTTTTGTTCATGCTCTTGTTGCTAAATCTATGTCAAGAAAATTCAGGGCTAATACAGTTTGAAGCCTCGTTAAAATGGAAACAAAGTCTCCCTCAACAACCAATTCTTGATTCATGGATCATTAACAATTCAAGTTCAACTTCAACATGAATACCATGTTCATGGAGAGGTATCACTTGTGATTCAAAAGGAACTCCCTGAAGGTGCTCCTAACTGTTTAGCTGGTTTAACGTTTGTAATAAGTGGAACACTAGACAGTTTTGAACGAGAAGAAGCAGAAGTTTTGATTAAACGCCACGGTGGCCGTGTCACCGGATCAGTCAGCAAGAAAACAAATTATTTGTTATGTGATGAAGATATTGGGGGAAGGAAGTCTGAAAAAGCTAAAGAGCTAGGGACTTCATTCCTCACAGAGGATGGATTGTTTGATATGATCCGGGCATCAAAACCTGCAAAAGCTCCTAAGCAAGATGAAAGCAGGAAATCTCTGAATAAGGCTGTTGCAGTGCCATCCCCGTCAAAAGTTCCCCTGAAAGCAGAAAGAAAGGCTGTTGCAATGCCATCCCCATCCAAAATTCCTTTGAAAGCAGAAACAAAGGCCTCTTTGTCTTCATGCTCACCTTCCAACCAAGTGAAGCTTAAGAAAGCTGCTACTGTTCAGTCTAATGTGATGTGGACAGAGAAACATCGACCTACAAATCCAAAGGATATCATCGGGAATCAGTCACTTGTTTTACAGCTTCGAAATTGGTTAAAAGGTTGGCATGAGCAATTTTCTAACACAGGTGGTATTAAAAAAGGAAAAAAGCATAATGACTCTACTTCCAAAAAGGCTGTCTTGTTAAGTGGAACCCCCGGTATAGGCAAAACAACATCATCAAAGCTGGTGTGTCAGGAGCTGGGTTTCCAGGCCATAGAGGTAAATGCCAGTGATAGCCGTGGAAAAGCTGATAGCAAAATTGAAAAAGGAATTAGCGGAAGCAATTCAAATTCTATCAAGGAACTTGTGACGAATGAGGCCCTTGGCCCTAATATGAATAGGCCAAAGCAGTCCAAAACTGTGCTCATTATGGATGAAGTTGATGGGATGTCAGCTGGTGATAGGGGTGGTGTTGCTGATCTTATTGCTAGCATCAAGATATCAAAAAAAATTCCCATTATCTGCATTTGCAATGACCGTTACAGCCAGAAATTAAAAAGCCTAGTGAACTACTGTTTGCTTCTTAGTTACCGGAAGCCTACAAAGCAACAGATGGCAAAGAAGTTTATGGAGGTTGCAAAGGCTGAAAGGCTTCAAGTTAATGAGATTGCTCTTGAGGAATTAGCAGAAATAGTTAATGGAGATATGCGAATGGCATTAAACCAGTTACAATATATGGGCCTCTCCATGTCAGTTATCAACTACGATGATATCAGGCAGCGCTTACTTACCAATGCGAAAGATGAAGACATTTCACCATTCACAGTTGTTGATAAGCTTTTTGGTTTGAATGCTGGAAAGATGAGAATGGAAGAGAGGATTACTCTTAGCATGAGTGACCCTGATCTTGTTCCTCTACTTATCCAGGAAAATTATGTTAATTAAAGACCAAACTCGGTTCGTAAGGATGACAGTGGTGGTATAAAACACATGCAACTGATTGCTCGTGTTGCCGAGTCTATTGCTGATGGCGATATAGTGAACGTACAGATTCGCAGATATCGACAGTGGCAGCTCTCTCAAACTAGTTCTCTGGCATCATGTATACTTCCTGCTTCATTGTTACATGGGCCAAGGGAAATACTTGAACAGGGAGAACGAATTTTTAACCGATTTGGTGGTTGGCTGGGGAAGAATTCGACAAGGAGTAAAAACATGAGACTTATGGATGACCTGCATGTTCACATTCTTGCATCTCACGAATCTAGTTCGGGAAGGGACACTATTCGCTTGGAATACCTTACTCTTCTTCTTAAAAAATTAACAGAACCAATAGAAGTTAACAGTTCTAACTGCTTAAAATCTGACCGTTCATCTTGTAACTGACTGATTTGATTCAACGGCTCAGATCTTCACGTCTCTAACCGTTTCTATCTCCCTAAACTACCTATATAATCCAAAACTCCCTCCAAGTTTCAGACGACGATATTTTTTTTTTCAGTTTCAAACTTCATCCTCTCTCCACCATTTTTTTTCTATCCTCTTCCATCAACACGCTTCATTTTTCACCCAGAACTCATAAAGTTTCGGAATTCTCTCTCTTTCTTCTCTAACCAATACTCTTCACCCTTCAAGCCACTCTTCATTTTTACTTACTTCTGAAACCCTGCTTCATCTTCATCAAATCATCTCTCTGTAAACTCAAATCACACTCCTACGATCTCACTCAAATACAACTCACAGCGACTACCGCAACAACCCTATGCTCCTTCCTATCAATGCTCATCAATACACGCACTTGGAAGTCACAAAGAAACGCAAGAAAAAATAAAGAAGAAGAAGAGCGGAAGAATAGTTCGCGCAACCGGAGTTATAGAAAGTACGTACCTGAGGTCAAATAATCTCGCCGATAATCACTTTCCCCAGAGTGTATTCTGTCTGGTAAGCTTTGGAAACCTTCGAATCATTTATCTCCTCGTAGTTTTCTTTACATATGGAGGTAGATTGTAGCTTGTAATGGAGGGTCTCGGTAGTTGCCACCGCTACTTCATCGTCACTACCGCGAATTGCAAGTTCACTAGGGTTTCAACAAAAAAAAAAGAGGATTGATGTTGTGGATTAACGAGAAGTTAGCGAGTCTGGGAGTGAGATTTATGATCAAGACTTAGTTTGAGGAAGGGTTCAGCGGCGGCGACACCACCGGAAGTTGCATACGAGTGTGAGGAGATGAAGAAGGGAAACGACGAAGAAGAGAGCGCCGCTTGTATTTGTGTTTCTCCTTCAATTCATTTAATTTTTTTTATTATTCAAAATGTCACAGAATGTAGAAAAAGGGCTATGACCAAGTTTAGGGCCCTCTAAGCCCATCAAGTACCTTTTGTGAAGCCTAAAAAAAAAACTATAACAAAAAATACTTCATGAACTGGGCCTAGAATCTGAATTGGGATCGCTATGCAGTGGCATCGTGTGCAATTTACACCTCCTGGGCTGGTTCTCACTATTTGCAATTTCTTTTTTTTTCTTAATTTCAATTATGGTTTAAGACTTGTTTTAATTTTCTTCACAAAAATAAAAAATATAAAAAAATCTGTAAGAATTTGTTAGATTTTATTATTTTCAATTTCTTAGGAGTTAATTCGTGGTTATCCAATTATTAGAAATTTATGATTCACCTTTGCTTTGTTGAGATTTAAATCTTATGCAGGTTCATTATGCGATATGTGGATACCCTTGAAATTTCGAGTGTGATTTATTTTCACATCGATGATGCTTCAACAATTATTTCGAGTATTGTATTTCTGACTCTTTTCCTTGTTGATGCTAGCAGCTCTCGAGTTCGTCGAGTATCTTTTCTTTTTCTGCTTTTCTCTACGGGCTAGTACTTGTTTGGTATATTTTCTTTCTATTTTCACCTCGCATTTATCTCTTCCCATAGATCATATGAAGTATGATAACATTAGGTTTAGAAATAGGTTAGTTTCCCTTTGACTTTTCTTTCCCTTTTTTGCATGTGCATTTAAAAATAAAAATAAAACTTCTTTTCTACGAACTTCAGAAAATACTATAAAAAAAAATCACTGACGAGAATCATATCTTCGTTGAGTCTGTGAGACGATAAGCGGGTCTCTTCTCAATCTTATTGTTCTTCGTCTCAAGTATAGGTGTGGTTCAATCTTCAAAGACTCATTTCACAAATAAGTAGAGACGTGGTTAAAATCTCTCTTGAGATTAACTAGCTATTATCTACAAGCAAAAACAACAACAAATACAAACCCTTTTTGCCTTCGGGCCTTCCTTTCAAACACTTTTCAAGAGAGCATGTTACTTCACTTCTGTGCTGACGCGTAAGTCTCCAAAGGTCGAGTTGCGGCAGAAGGCGAAATTAATGTTGTTCATTAAAAATACCAACCTACAAAAACATATAAGCCGAACTACGGCTGCTCTGATTCCTCAAAAAGGATACGTAGGCATTGGGGTAGGGCCCAGGCGAGCATAATTTTATTTTCCCTACATTCTTTTCTCCTTTCTTTTGCATGCATTCTCCCTTAGCATTAATAAACAATAAGCATATATTGAACACACCCATAAGATAGACAACAAGAGTGGATACCGTAGAGTACTACGGGCGTGTGGGGTGCTAATACCTTCCCCTCGCGTAACAGACTCCCTTACCCTTATCTCTTGGTCGTTCGACCTTGATTTCATCCTTCTCGGGTTTTCTCGATATTTACCTTTCCCTTCATGTGGGATAAAAGACGTTCAATGGCGACTTCATTGTTTTGATGATTTTCAGCCGGTTGTTTCAAGCGTCCTAAGAAACATGTCAACCAACTCCCTATCAGACAAAGGGGGTTGGACTCTCCCTGCCAGATCTCTCCACTTCTGTGCGTAGTCCTTGAAACCTTTGCTTGTACCCATGGACATACTCTGGAGTTGAGTACGGGTAGGGGAAGAGTCAGCATTATATTGATACTGCTTATAAAAAGCAGCAGCCAAATCTTCCCAGTTGTGGACATTGGTTCCCTCCAGCTGATAGAACCACTCAAGCTGAGTCCCGGACAGACTGTCTTGAAAGAAATGGACCCACAAGTTCCTATCAGCAGTGTTAGGCTGAATCTTCCTCACATAGGAATGGAGATGAAGCTTAGGACAAGACACCCCATCATACTTCACAAATACCGGAGCTTTGAACTTTTGTGGGATGACTACCCCAAATATCAAACCCAGCTCTTCGAAATCCAGCCCTAGTATTCTTTGGATCTCCATCACGCTCAGACGATCCTCTAACTGTTTGTACCTATCCTCAACCGGGGGATACTGTTCATCCTTGTAGTCAGATTCATCCTCAAAAACTCTCAGACTAGGGTCTTCCTCCCTTGTTTTGCCCTCTTGGTTCTCCCCTTCTTTGGATGAAGAGGTTAGATCAACCGTTTGCTTCAACGGTCCCCTAAATCTTCTGCCCAGATTAAGGACACCAGCGATCTTCTTCTTCTTCTTCTCTTTCAGAATAAGGGCCTTCAGATCTTCTTGCCCCTTAGGCTACGAACATTTGCTAAAATTGGGCATTTTGTGCCTGGAGATCCTTGATGCTTTGTTTAGATGACATTATTGCTGAAATAAACAGCGAAGAAGATGAGAAACCTGTTATGGTACCTATTTATGCAATTTCATGGATGATATGCGTATGCAATGACTTCAAGGACTCTTAAAGGCTCAAATTTACTTAACCAAAATAAACACACGTTAATTGTATTAATAAGTTCGAATTGTTACAAAGGGTTCCCTTTAGGCTTACAATTAAACAAACAAAACTTAAAGAAAAAATAAAATTAGGTCTCCCATGAGCGCCTCCTCTTGGTGCGATGTAGACGTTTATATTCCTTTCTTCATGAAGTAACCTAGTGAGTTCCAGGACCTTCTTCTTGCTGGCATAAAATTGAGTTTCAAACGTATCAGGCTCCTCTTTGAGTTGAACCCAGGATTTTTGTAATTCCTCATGATCAGTTGGCATGTCAGGATGGAGAACAAGATAAGAAGTGTCTCCTTCAGCAACCAGTTCCATAATCATAGGTAGGATGGCGGGGTAAGGCATCATAATACTTTGGGAACGGGCTCGTACCCATCTGAATAAGTCTCAAGAGGGGTGGGATTCTTGTACCTCAGTGTCTTGCTATCAACTCTATGTACCATGCCCCAAGCTCGCATGAACCTTTTACGGTAACCCTGAGCATCATTCTCATAGTCGAAGGCGATTCCTTGGATAAGTGTATCATGAGGACCATCCCTTCTCGCATAACCAAACTGTCGTAGTGCCAAACAGGGATTATAAGTGATTCCTCCCCTAATGCCTAAGAGAGGGACATCAGGGAATTCACCACAGTGATCGATGATGGTAACATCTTCCGAGGACCGTGAACACCAATGAATGTATGAATGTGCAAGGGACATCGGCCTATGAGACCATTTCATACCATGCTCATTCTTCAAAATAGACCTGGGTAGGTGCGAAATAAACTACCTAGCCAGTAGAGGGGTGCAACACAGGAAGTTCCCCCTTCTCTTTAGAGTGCGAGCATGCAGAGAGTGTAGAAGATCCCCTAGTAGTGTAGGCACTGGATTATGAGACAGGAAAACCTTAATCGTATTCACATCTACTAGTTGGTCCGCGTTAGGGAATAGTACCATCTCGTAGATGAGGAGTGCCAATACCTCTTCAAAATCTTATAAATCTAGGGTATCCTAAAAACAATGAGCTTTCTCGAATAGAAATTTAACCGGGATTCCTTGGACACTTCCCTTAGTTTCCCTATTTGTCACTACATCGGACCGTTGTAAGGACAGAGCTCGAGCAATCTCTTCAGGCTTTGGATGTCTTTCTGTACCGTTGAAAGGTAACTGATCAAGAATAGGTACCCCCAATAACCGAGAAAATTCCTCCATGGTAGGCACTAGCTGGTAATCCGGGAAGGTGAAGCAGTGGGGCAAAGGATAAAAGAATTGAAATAGAACTTTTAACAATTCTTCATCAGGTTTTAAAGTGACCAAGTTGAGCAGCCAACCATGTTTTTCAGTGAAGAGAGAGCTTTCAGGAATCCTTAATGTCAAGTCCTTTAGTTGAGGAGGTACTTTCATAAGGTTAATCTGGATAGTGTTCCTGCGGGCGGATGCTATGTCCTACAAAACAAAGAAAAGATGAGCCCTAGAAAATCCTTGAAATAGTTAGTATGATATGCCATGTTTATGATGTCATGATTATGCTAAGAAATCACATGTATAGCAAGAAACAAACAAGTCACACCAAGTCCTTAGGTTTAAAACCTGCATGAGTTTTAAGGTCATACCCTCTTGAAGCTGGATTGGTTTAACTTTTCCTATAAGTACTAACC